CCATTATTAGGATAAAAAAAAAACCCTAAAAAATCCCAGTATCTTTCCCGCCATTTGTAAACGCTATAACTTTCACGTAAACCAATTAATTTACACGTATTGGGTTTTTTTTTTTTTTTTTTTTAGCAAAGACATGTCGCAGAATGCATTTTGGCAGAAATTTATGACTAAATTTGATTTTTGCATTTTTTTTTTACTGGACATGTTTTATAGCAAAAAGTCCAAAATATTGTTTTTTTTTCCTCAAAATTGTCAGCCTTTTTTTTTATAGCGCAAAAAATAAAAACCGCACAGGCGATCAAATACCACCGAAAGAAAGCTCAATTTGTGGGGAAAAAAAGGATGTAAATTTCATTTATGTACCATATTGCATGACCGCGCAATTGTCCGTTAAACTAGCGCAGCACTGTATAGCAGAAAAATGGCGTAAATTGCAGTATCTATACCATAGTTTGTAGACGCTATAACTTCACACAAAGCAATCAATATACACTTATTGGGATTTTTTTTACCAAAAACATGGAGCAGAATACATTTTGGCCTAAATTTATAACTAACTTTGCGTTTACTATATATTTTTTATAGCTGAAAATAAAAAAATATTGTTTTTCTTCAAAATTTTTGGCCTTTTTTTGTTTATAGCGTGAAAAATAAAAAGCGCACAGGTGATCAAATTACACCGAAAGAGCGAAGAAAGCTCTATTTGTGTGAAAAAAAGGACGTAAATTTTGTTTGGGTGCAGCATTGCATGACCGCGCAATTATCAGTTGAATTAGTGCAGCGCCGAGTAGCAAAAAGAGGTGTGGTCATTAAGGGGGGTAAATCCTCTGGAGGTCAAGTGGTTAAATTGACATAATAAAGCTATGTTATAATTACAGTTTTTTTATATTTTGGACTCTTCTAAAGAAAAATGTAACTTCATAAGCTTTAAGGGGGTGTGGTTGGAGGCGTGGTTGGGGGACAGGCTGGGGGTGGGGTTGGAGGATGACCTGGGCAAGGTTGGGTGGGGCAACCGGAGGAGAGTAAGGTTTGTGCCTGGCTAGTAGGTCTGGAATCGAAATTTTAAGCCCCGATCTAAGTGTTACCTTAAATACATTTCTGACATTTCCAGTTTAGCACAGAAATGTGATGATCACTATTAACATTAATGTACAAAGCTGTTCATAACACTGACCCGAAATACATCACCGACCTGATATCCATCTACCACCCAAACCCACACTCTTCGCTCCTCACAAGACCTCCTACTCTCCAGTTTCCTGGTCTCCTCCTCCCATGCCCGTCTCCAAGACTTCTACAGGGCTTCCCCCATCCTCTGTAACTCACTACCCCAATCCATCAGAGACTGTCACCTCCCCTCCTCACTTTCAGGCGCACCCTGAAAACCCACCTCTTCAGGGAAGCCTACCCCACCCTCACCTAATTGCTGATCTCCTCCGCTCTTCCCACCACTCCATCCCCCACAGCTATTTCCTCCTGTACCACTATCCCCTCCCTCCTAGATTGTAAGCTCCAAGGAGCAGGGCCCTCGAACCCCTCGTGTACTGTACTGTTACTATACTGTCCCATGTATTGTCTCCCATTATAATGTACAGCGCTGAGCAAAAAACCATTGGCGCTAAATACTGTATAATAATAATAATCATATCCAATATTTACCCCAGACTCTTGATGTTGTGTAGAGCTGATATAAGTTTCCTCAATCCCTCACTCTGAATTCTACATGAATATAGATTTACTTCTATCTCTTTGCAGGATTGAAGGATAAAGGACAGCACAGTGCAGTCCAGAGGGCTGAGGGGGACATCAGAAAAGTCAATGTTGTTTGATCCAATACATTGTGACACCAGAGCCTTATTCCTGCTCTCATGGAGATAGTAGAATTCATTAAGATTTCTGTTGCCACTTATGGATGTGTCGGGTCTTTGTTCTGGTATTTTCTTCTGGATCCAGGTGATGACATGTCTGGCAGCCTGAGTAGACAATTCTCCCACATGAGACTTTAACATGGATCTAGTAGAAGAGTCTGAGAGACCACAGAGGAAACGGAGGAATATTTCGGCACGGCCATCTTCAGAAGATTCAGCTCCATCAAGTGTTTCCTGTAATCTGTCAGCATTATAGTCAATAAAATGGACTAAAGCAGCAAAAAAACTCCTGAAGAGTGAGATGTAAGAAGGTGTAATCCACATCAGGAGGCTGACCAGATTCCATCAGGAAAGATGAAAAGAGATGTTTATCATTTCTCACACTGAATGACTCCAGATGTCGCTCATCAAATACAATCATGTGATTCATGACGCCATGTTCTGCCATTCGCCCCATAGATGTCAGCAGTTCCCCCCGGGCAGTGTGAGCGCCCTCTTTATTCTGGCTGTGATTGGCCAGAATGTTGGAGACAAAAGTCACAAAGAGTTGTGTCACTGTTTTGGGTAATGATGTCATCAGCTGATCGGTGATTGTTGGTTGGGCTCTGAAGCACATTGATTAACACTGTACAGATGATCCAGCAGTATGATGGGATATAACAGAAAGTGTACAGCGTGTCATTCTCCTGCACATAATGAAAAGCCTTCTCTGACCATTCCTCATTTCCAAAGAAAACTATTGAAGAAGGTCCCGTCTGTCTTCATGGAGAAATCCCATGATCTCCGCTATTCTCTGGAAAACATCGATTTTAACTGATCCCAGTCTGGTTTGGGCGGCTGGTCATCAGTACAGAGCAACCCTTAAGAAGACTCTGCCTCACCAAACTGACCACAATCTCACCAAAATGTGTTTCTCTGCTTTGGATTGGACAGTTTACTTGATCCAAAATCCATTTGGTGAATACTTTCATCTAAGCCATCAAATATAAACAGAAGTATCTCTGGCTGTAGTAAAATCTCTCCAATCTGACCCTCCAGATGTGGATATTGTTGAAGAATCATCTCCTCCAAGCTGACCTTTCCCAGTCTATTAAGGTCCCGGAATCTGAAGAAGAAGACAAAGGCAAATCTCTGGTAGTGTTTTCTGGTCACCCAGTCATAGACAAACTTCTGCATCAGTGTGGTCTTCCCTATTCCTGGCACTCCGCTCACCATTACTGCACGTGGTACACATTGTGACTGGTGGTTCCATCGGAACAGCCTATTGGGGGTAATGTGTTCCAGTCCAGTCTGTGTTTCCTTCAAGCATTCCTCATGTTTTACCCCGGTCTGTATTAGCTCATTCTGGGGACGCTGCCGGAACTGATCAGTGGAGACTACAATCAGCTTCACATAACGCTCATTGATGAGGAATCTTTGTGGTTCCAGGGTAGTTCCTGGGGGGTCTATGCTCCACTAGAGTCTCAGTCTTCTCCATCAGATGATGTTTTGTGCTTTTCCTGAATATCTGGGAATATAACGGAAATGTTTTTGACTCAGATTAAAAACAGTGCTAAAGACTTTTATTTTGTCAGCAGCACATTGGAACAAATACATTTCAGACAACAAAAACTGCTTTTTAAAAAACTGCAGATCATTTATAATATGTTCACATTGCATCTTCACCCTCTGGTTTCTTGTGCGCCGTTTACCACACTTCTTGGCTCATTGAAAATGTGAATTAAAAGTCATGTGACCCTGTCGACTAGATTTCTCATCAGGCATATTGATACTGCATATAGAATAAGCCCATTGTGAGGTCTCTGCCTACATCAACATGCATAGGCAGCCCAAAAGGACAATTGCATGACAGCACATGTTTGGCAGCTGCTATCAATCATCTTTTCTCCGGGTAGAACAGAGACATGTCTACTGTTTGGTTTCCTTTTGGTCTCCAAAGCAAACAATGTCTCCTCGTACTGGATCTCCTGGCAGCCAGCCTGCTCACATCACTTCTGTGATTATTTTACCAAATAATACCTAAATCTGCTGGCACTGGATAACCCCTACACATAAAAATACGTGGGACACAAGGTATCCCTCAAATGCCCAGAATTGTTAATTGATCATACTGTATATGAATAAATGAAACAGGACGTGGGGACAATAGAGTTAATGCTGGTATTAGCAATCTGCCAAAAAGGTTGTCATGGTTGGTTGGAGGCAGACTGAGGGCTTGCTTTGCAACTCTGGTCTGAGCAGCCCTGAAGAAGGTGACAGAGGAACAAGAAGCACGGGTGCCGGTAGCTTGGCAGCAGGTAACTGTCAGGAACAGAGACATCATCAGGGGGAGCCAGGGGCATGCACGATGAGGCAGAAGAGTGGTCAGGTAGCAGGCTGGGTCAATACCAAAGAATCAGGCAGAGCGACGTCCAGTAGCAGGTCGAGGCCCAGAACCAGGGAAGCAGGCAGAGTATCCTAATGCCATAGAGCAAGGTCCGGAACTAGCCAGATCAGCAATGGGAGATCAGTTCGCATAAGCAGGAACACATGAACACAAGTCATGGGGGAAGTGAAGACCAATCAGCGATTAGCACACAACAGGGTCTCCATTAAATAGGCAGCTTCATGCCAATACCCATGGATGTGCGCATCAAAGAGATGTAGAGAGGTGGAAGAAACTCATTGATGGTTACAGGAAGCCATTGATTTCAGTTATTTTTTCCAAGGGGTGTGCTACCAAGTATTAACATGAGGGTGCCAATAATTTTGTCCAGTCAGCTTTTAGAGTTTTGTGTGGAATGTGTCCGATTCACAGTGCAGTGCAGATTTCTAGCTTATTGCTTAATATAAAGTGCACTAGTGCCGGGGGCTCCAAACTTTCTAAACAAAAGGGCCGGTTTACTGTCCTTCAGACTTTAGGAGGGGGGCCGGACTGTGGCCAGTGGGAGTAGAAAATGTCCCAGCGTCAGTAGGAGTAAAAATAAATGACATAGTGCTTGTGGTCAGTGGAAGGAGCAATAGTGTCCAGTCATTGGTATTAGTTGGAGGAATATTGTCCCACCTTTGTTGTCAGGGGGGAGGAATAGTACCCCATCCTTGGTGTCAGGGGGAGGAATAGTGCCCCATCCTTGGTGTCAGGGGGAGGAATAGTGCCCCATCCTTGGTGTCAGGGGGAGGAATAGTGCCCCATCCTTGGTGTCAGGGGGAAGAATAGTGCCCCATCCTTGGTGTCAGGGGAGGAATAGTGCCCCATCCTTTGTGTCAGGGGGAGGAATAGTGCCCCATCATTGGTGTCACTGGGAGGAATAGTGTCCCATCATTGGTGTCAGGAGAAGGAATAGTGCCCCCACCATCGGTGTCACTGGGAGGAATAGTGCCCCATCATTGGTGTCAGTGGGAGGAATAGTGCCCCATCATTGGTGTCAGAGGAAGGAATAGTGTCACATCCGTGGTATTAGTTGGAGGAATAGTACCTAATTGTTTATTTCAGTGGGAGGAATAGTGCCCCATCATTGGTGTCAGTGGGAGGAATAGTGCCCCATCATTGGTGTCAGTGGGAGGAATAGTGTCCCATCATTGGTGTCAGTGGGAGGAATTGTGCCCCATCATTGGTGTCAGTGGGAGGAATAGTGCCCCATCATTGGTGTCAGTGGGAGGAATAGTGCCCCATCATTTGTGTCAATAGAAGGAAAAATGCCCCATAGTTGGTGCCAGTGGAAGAAATGGTGCCTCCTTGTTGGTATCAGTGGGAGAAATACAGTGGGGTAAAAAGTATTTAGTCACCACCAATTGTACAAGTTCTCCCACTTACAAAGATGAGAGAGGCCTGTAATTGGCATCATAGGGAGACCTCAACTATGAGAGACAAAATGAGAAAAAAATCCAGACAATCACATTGGCTGATCTGGAAAGAATTTATTTGCAAATTATGGTGGAAAATAAGTATTTGGTGAATATGAAAAGTTCATGTCAATACTTTGTTATATATCCTTTGTTGGCAATGACAGAGGTCAGACGTTTCCTGGAAGTCTTCACAAGGTTGGCACACACTGTTGCTGGTATGTTGGCCCATCCTCCATGCAGATCTCCTCTAGAGCAGTGATGTTTTGGGGCTGTCGCTGGGCAACACGGACTTTCAACTCCCTCCAAAGGTTTTCTATGGGGTTGAGATCTGGAGACTGGCTAGGCCACTCCAGGACCTTGAAATGCTTCTTACGAAGCCACTCCTTCGTTGCCTGGGTGGTATGTTTAGGATCATTGTCATGTTGGAAGACCCAGCCACGTTTCATCTTCAATGCCCTTGCTGATGGAAGGAGGTTTGCACTCAAAATCTCACGATACATGGCCCCATTCATTCTGTCCTGTACATGGATCAGTCGTCTTGGTCCCTTTGCGGGAGAAACAGCTCCAAAGCATGATGTTGCCACCCCCATGCTTCACAGTAGGTATGGTGTTCTTTGAATGCAACTCAGCATTCTCTCTCCTCCAAACACGACGAGTTGTGTTTCCACCAAACAGTTCTATTTTGGTTTCATCTGACCATATGACATTCTCCCAATCCTCTTCTGGATCATCCAAATGCTCTCTAGCAAACTTCAGATGGGCCCGGACATGTACTGGCTTAAGCAGGGGGACACGTTCTGGCACTGCAGGATCTGAGTCCCTGGCGGCGTTAGTGTGTTACTGATGGTAGCCTTTGTTACGTTGGTCCCAGCTCTCTTCAGGTCATTCACTAGGTTCCCCCGTGTGGTCCTGTGATTTTTGCTCACCGTTCTTGTGATCGTTTTGACCCCATGGGGTGAGATCTTGCGTGGAGCCCCAGATCGAGGGAGATTATCAGTGGTCTTGTATGTCTTCCATTTTCTAATTATTGCTCCCACAGTTGATTTGTTCACACCAAGCTGCTTGCCTATTGCAGACTCAGTCTTCCCAGCCTGGTGCAGGTCTACAATTTTGTTTCTGGTGTCCAACAGCTCTTTAGTCTTCACCATAGTGGAGTTTGTAGTGAGACTGTTTGAGGTTGTGGACAGGTGTCTTTTATCCTGATAACAAGTTCAAACAGGTGCCATTGATACAGGTAATGAGTGCAGGACAGAGGAGCCTCTTAAAGAAGAAGGTACAGGTCTGTGAGAGCCAGAAATCTTGCTTGTTTGTAGGTGACCAAATACTTATTTTCCACCATAATTTGCAAATAAATTCTTTCCAAATCAGCCAATGTGATTGTCTGGATTTGTTTTCTCATTTTGTCTCTCATAGTTGAGGTCTCCCTATGATGCCAATTACAGGCCTCTCATCTTTTTAAGTGGGAGAACTTGCACAATTGGTGGCTGACTAAATACTTTTTTGCCTCACTGTAGTACCCCGAGGGGCCGGACAGAGGTAAGCAAAGGACTGCATTCGGCCCACGGACCGCAGTTTGGAGACCTCTGCACTGGTGTATAGGTTTAAAAATCCAAAAGATATAATTTAGATACATTTTAAGCCTTTTATGTACTATTTGGAATACTCAAAATAGGAAAAAAAGGGACAATCTTTCACAGCTTTTTCCACAAGAAGTTGCAAAATACATTTTATGCTATGATCTTTTGATTTTCTGTATTGCTATGATGCTCCCAAAATCTAGAGGTTTATTGATTATTATCTAATAAAATATGCCACATGGACTTTTGATTGTTTGTGACTTTATTTCCTGGTTTGTCATTTGATCCATGTTTAAAGTGTAATTCCAGTCAAAAACTTAACCAAGCTAAAATATACTCCCTTCCTCCATTCTATCTACCCTGGAAAAGGAAAGATGTCTATATTTACCTGTTCTTAAAGCAGAGCTCCACCCAAAAGGGGAAGTTCCACTTTAATGGTTTGTCCCCCGCTCCCATTAAGGATTGGCACTTTGGGGTACCTGAATTTGACAGGTACTCGCTCACACTTCCGCTGCGATCACCTAGGCGATCGGAAGTGGCAGTTCCCCCCCGTAATTTTCTGGGACATGTGACAAGTCCAGAAGACTACGGGGCCATTCACAAAGCGCAATGCTTCTCGCGCATCCGCAAGCTGTCATAGCTGGGTGCCCACATTAAAGATGCCGGCACCAGGGAGAGAAGATGGACGATGGAACCAGCTTTGGTGAGGACACCGTTGGACCGAGGGACAGGTAAATGTCTGTATTTTACAAGTCAGCAGCTACAGTTTTTGTAGCTGCTGACTTAGTTTTTTTTTTTTTTTTCAGCTGGAACTCCGCTTTAAGTCGCTCCAGTCTGGTCATATGATCCACTCCCAGTGCCGGTTTCAGTGTAAAGAAGGGAAAACTGACAATGGATGCCGCATAGTAAGCCTAAGTATGATGTCATCGCCCCCCTCTGCAACCATTGTTGTTGCTCTCTTCTCTACCCTGAAGCCTCCAATGGAGAGATCATGTGACTTGACCGGAGCAACTTCAGCACAGCTAAGTATAGATACCTTTCATTTTTCAGGGCATATAAAATAGGCAGAGAATGGGAGCGGGGGAAGGTTTAAACTCAGTTAGGTTTTGACTGGAATTACACTTCAATATATTTACAGTTAAAGCAAATCTTCCAGCAATGATGTTAACCCCTCGCCCTCCAAAGGATCCCCCCCTCCTCCTGGCCAGGCTATTTTTTTGCAATACGGCACTGTGTTACTTTGACAATTGCGCAGTCATGCAATGCTGCTCCCAAAATGAAATTTATGTCCTTTTTTTCTCACAAATCTAGGTTTCTTTCAGTGGTATTTGATCACCTCTGCATTCTTTATTTTTTGCGCTATAAATAGAAAAAGACCGACAATTTTCAGTAAAAAACAATATTTTTTACTTTTTGTTATTAAACATGTCCAGTAAAAAAATTATAAAAAAAAAAAAAAAATCAAATTTCGTCATAAATTTAGGCCAAACTGTATTCTGCTCCGTGTCTTTGATAAAATGGAAAAAAAAAAAAAAAATCACAATACGTGTAAATGAATTGGTTTACATGAAAGTTATAGCGTCTACAATTGGCGGTATATATACTGGAATTTTTTTTCTGCAATGGTGGCGATCAGCGACTTATAGCAGGACTGCGGCGGGCATTCTGACACTGGGGGGAAATTACTTGGTGTTTGCTGACATCCCCAGTGACACCAATACAGTGATTAGTGCTAATAAAAAGCACTGACACTGTACTAATGGCACTGGGCAGGAAGAGGTTAACATCTGGGGCGATCAAAGGGTTAACTGTGTGCTGGGTGTGTTTTACTGTGGGGCCGTGTCAGTATGCTTCACTGTAAGCACACTGCTTTGGATGGCTGTAGACTGCTTTGGATGCTGTTTTACTTCTTGTGCTGTGTTTGTGCTTCACTGTACGCCTGCTGCTATGCAGAGCCATACAAAGCAGTGTGCAGGAGCTGACAGGGGAGAGATCTGTATTGTTTACATACAGGTCTCTCCCCCGTCAGAGATACTCGGTGATCACCAGGTGCCAGCAAGTAATTACCGGCTGGGACCCGGTGATTGACAGCCGAGGCCGCGAATGGCAGCATGGGTAGAGCGCACGTGTGCCCCCTACTCGGGTCTGCAAAATAACGTATATATACACGTGATTTTGCACACCCATGCCGCCCTGTAGCAGTATTTCTGCTATATGGCAGTGTGGAACTGGCTAAAGTGTTTTGTTAGATAATAAATATTCATAGTTATTTTTTAACAGGTTATAGAGGGGCACATTTTGGATCCTGTAATGGGATATGTCTTTTTTTAAACTATGTTCTCAATTTGTTGATATGTATTATTATATTAAGCAATTAAATTATTCCATCATTTCTGTTTTCACATTTTTTTTTTTTTTTCAGGACAGGATAATGGATTGCCATATTTCTCACAAGCCTTCTCAATGATGTCCCATTGGCACTCCTTCTCATTGAGCCCGGGTTCACATACATGTGGTGCGTTATATCGCATGTGATTCGCACAGGAACAACAGCGCATTCCTGTGTGAATCACATGCAATTTGTGTGCGGTGCGATTGGCGCAGTACATTTTGTATGGCTCTAATCGCACCGCATCTGCACCAAAAAGTGCAGGACCCTTTTTTTGGTCCGCACTAAAATCAGATCGGTATTCACACCCATACGATCCGATTCTACACATTGCACCGTGTTTTGCGGACCGATTTTGGGGTGTTGTTAACATACACACCCGCAGCGGTTGGCATGAACGGGGTGCGATTCTGATGCGGTGCGGAATTCTCACAGAAAACGCTGCGAATTCCGCACTGCATTAGTGTGAACCCGGGCTGAACTTCTCTTATAAGATAGTACTGGGGTAGATTTACTAATACTGGAGCACTCGGAATCAGCTTCTGACTTCAGTTCGTTCAATTAAGCGTTGGCAATAAAACCTGGAAGCGGACTGCTTTCTATGCAGAAGTGAACCTGATCTTTCACTC